AGCTCATCCAGTAACGAGTTGGGAAGATGCTTCAGAGCAGATGAGGACTCCCTTAAATGACGCCTGGTACAAGAGTGAAAAAACAAAGTTCTATCTTTCTGAACACACTGAGTTGACTGGTCATTGTTCAAAGGGGTGTTTGTATTCTCTCCTGCCTGTGGCAGCAGTTTGAAATGTCTAGGGGACTGAGAGCCAAGGTCTTTGGGTTCTGTTCCTGGCTTATGTGCCCATAATGCCTGAGGAACCCACACCCCTCCCCTTGGGTAGTTCTGTCTCCTTATCCTCAATCTTTGGCCTCTCTGCTGAGACTTGGTAATGAGGGTGTCAGTCAGTGCACACTGCTAAGGGCTCTTGTGAAATGGAGTGTGCCCACTAGATACTGGACTGAGACCTAACAAACTCATCTCATGCCAAAAACCACTGAATAGTCAGATGGTAACTTTCAGTCCCTGCTGAGCTAGATTGGAGCCAGTGACATTCATGAAAGTTAGTATGCCCAGAGCTGCCTTCCTCATTGCTGTGTTTCTACATGCCCTGATCCTGGAAGGAAACAAATGCTGCCTCCAAAAAAAATGAGGGCTGCAGTGCAAATAATTCATGGAGGGATGCTGGGTTTCTGTGCACCATGCAGCACTGCCCATTTGCACATCCTCTTAGCTCCAGCCTTTTGAAACCACAGTGGGGAAGGAAATTTTATGCTCAAGTCTAGCATGTACTGTCTGTTCCACATGGACAAGGAGGAAGTCAGCAAGGAGAGGAAAATGACAAAGTAGGTGATTCAGTAGCACAACTTAATGATAATACCCAGCTCTTATCCATAGTTCTCAAAGTGCTTTACAAAAGGAGGTCAGTATCATTATCCCTATTTACAGGTGGGGAAACTGAGGCATAGAGAAGTGTGACTTGCCCATGGTTCCCAAGCAGGCCAATGGCAGAGACAGGAATAGAACCCAGGGCTCCTGAGTCCTAGACTAGCACCTTGCCCTCTAGGTGACAGTCTAGTTTTCACCCCAACAAAAAAAAACTCTCTAGAAACAAGTCAGTTTATTGGCCAAAGAAAACAGCCTTTCCTGCAATCTAGACTGTTCAGATTGCAAACTGTTCTTGAAAATTACAGGATCAGTGATCTTTTGGCGTGAATACCTACTCATTCATTCTCAAAGCAAACAAGGAATGATTTTCATTACTCACTGGGATTTTTCTCCCTGTGATGATTTCCCATTGCTGGACTTCAGTGGCTGCTGCCTCTGATCCTATCAAATAGAAGAGCCAGGTATGTCAGGTGTATTTCTGCATGCACAGAAACCCCCTGCAGGGCCAAAATAGGAAATGTTTAAAGACCCTCTTCTCTTGATGAAAAGCTGATCTAATGAACAGAGTTAGTCATTGCAGAGCCCCTTGTTCGCTATAATCTGTCACCAAAATAGCTGTGGAATCCACAATGGACCTGAGAAATCAAAGCCACCTCCTACAGCCAGCCACAAGGTAAAAATCACAGCCAGACCCACATGACAAACCTATCCTAGAATCTGATGTCTTATGACAGGTTTCTGCATTGCAAAAGCCCCACCCAGAAATTCAACCCTGTTGGCTACAACAAGGAATGAGCAAGAGGCATGGACGTCATGCACCTTGATAAACTCTGTGAAGGTCTCCAGGATCACATCCGGCACGAGCTCCTCCAACAGAAGCTGGGAGACAAAGGAGTCAACCCAGTTCCAGGCAAGCTGTGTGAGGTCCGAGGAATAGTGGCACTGGGCTACATGTTCCTAGAAGGCAGAAGCAAAGATTGCAGGAGAAAAAAATATTCAGGGTACTGTCTAGTTAACTGAATGAAAACCAAGACCCAGATCCACCTCTGCCAATACCTTAGGGTATTAGGGGAGGAAATCTCCCTGGATATTCCATGTCTTCCCTGCACTTACATTTGGGGTTCCCCCCGGGAAAGACCATTCCTTTACCCCCACCCTGTCCCTGCTAGGCTCTGCAAAGTGTTAGGACCCTGAGCCTTTCCTGCTCCTGGCCAATGCAGCCCCACTGAAACCACACTGCACGTACTCCTGAACTAGCCGCTGGCTCAGCAAACAGAGCCCCCCTCCCTTTCACTGAGGGAGGGGGGCTCAGAAAGAGCAAGGTTTTGTGCAAGAGGCAACAGCTAGGTTCTGTGCTTTTGCTCCCCATTTCCTGTGGAAGGGGAAGGATGTGTCAGCCTGCAGCCCCCTTCCAGCCCCTCCTTGTGCATGGATCTCACACTTAATGGAGGGTTCCATGTAGCATTGGGGCATTCCCCCTCAAATCAGGCATCAGGTAGCAGGACTGCCCAGGAAAGCCATGGAGCAAGCAGCAAGATGTCCTGGAAAGGGAGCAGGTATCTAGCCACTTCCCTTACTAGAACCTCTCCCTCTCATTTCCCCTCTGCTCATTTCTAACTGTGCAGAGTGGCTTCTGAACTGAATGCCTGGGATCAGTGTGGGGAACTCCTGTACTGAAAGCCAATTACCTGGCAGTGGAAAATGTAAATGGATGTATCCACTAGAGAGAGCTATTTTTCAATCTGCCTAGAGCATCTCATTCCAGACAGCAGCTCAGTCTTCAATATGCTATTTCCATTATAAACCTATTTTCAAGGTAACAGAGGCTTTTTAATTTACTCTAGGCTGAAGCTCAAAATTGCAGGCTTGTCAGCTGATAGAACACAGATCACTTATCACAGCAAAGGATGTGTCAACGTTCCTGGTGTCTGTCAACAAATCCTGACATGTAAATTAGGATTTCTCCTCAACACCATGCTTAAAAACATGTCACTTTCAAATGACATCCATGCCAGTGTCTCCATTGCTGACTAATGCAGGTCTTGGCTGGCACTAGTATTTGGTAGCTCCCACAAAGGTTGCCACAAACTTTATAACCCTGGATAGAGAAGGGGCAGGAAGCTCTAATGTCACAACAAGTCCACAATCTGATAACTTCCAGGTTGTCTTTATGCCAGGCATCATGGCCATGCAGATAATATTAGGGCAAGAACTCTGATCTCTTCCAAAATGCATAGTCCCCAGTCACTGAGCTAAGGAAACTGTTAGCTATTGGCAGTACAGGGCATACAACAGCTGAACAGTTCTGAGTGCATGAAGTAGAAGGTAGTGTACATGCCCATGCCAGCTCATAATCATGTTATGGGGTTGATGGAGAGATTATTGGGTGAGGTTGTCTGACCTATGCAGGAATCAAGCTAGATGAGTGATTGCTGAGCTTCAAATCTATCATGTAACAGCAGATCCTCATGCTAGTTAAGTAGCTGCCAAATGAGATAAAAGGTACAGTGACATTACTGGGGGTTACTATACCAGCCACATGACTCAAAATGTAAGTCTGTATTTAATGTGGTGGGGATAGACTGTTTTGGTTTGATTTTCAAAAATGCTGTGCTCCCTCTAATACTTTTCTGATCCAGTTTTAATACCACCTAGCTGCTACGTAGCACTTTTTGTGCTTAGATCTCAAAGTGCTTTATGAAGCAGTAAGTATCATCCCCATTTTACTGATGGGCAAGTCACCTGCCTGCTCTGTGTTTCCCTAAGGTCACCCAGCAGGCCTGAGGCAGAGCTGGGACTAGAAGAGAAACACCAGAATGGACCCTTATCTCAGACAGCCTGGCCCTTTTGCCAGTTTTAGGGATCAGAGGAGAAGGATTCATTACATGGTTGTGTTTAGGCTGCACACAACAAAAACTCAGTAAAAAAAATTGGCATGAAAGAATGTTTAGAACACTTCTAATTTTCACAAGAAATGTTTCCATTCAGCCTTGTCAGTTTCACCTTCTGGTTTTGTTGAACTAACCAGTTTTAATGGTGCAAATGGAGGGATGTGCAAAGAGCCAGCCTCAAATCAGGGAGAGTAATCGAGAGGTTTTATAGTAAAGTGTGGGCCAGGGTGTGTAAATTCTGGAATTACATATACAGTTAACTTGGCACAAAGCTTTTCACCTCCATGTGTGTTTATGTTCTGGCTCTTGGAAACAGAATCATTAACAGTTATTAGCAAACAATGGGCTCATCTAACAAGGAGCTAAACCACTTGTTTAGCTACACTTGGGCAAACTCCTACTGTAGACATGCTGCACCAGTGCAAGGCATGACTTGTGCTAGTACAAGTATGTCACACCTTTGGAATCTGATAAGAGTTTGGGCTGAAGCTGGTGCTGAAAGCAGGAAAAATACTAACATTGCCTTCCAAGCCAGGTACTGAAGGGGATTATTAAATTTAGGACCTGATTTTTAAAGGTTTTTAGACACTGAGGGAGATTTTCCAAAATGGCTATGCACCTAACTTACTAAAAATCAATGGGAGTTGTATGCTTTTGAAAGCCTCACTAGGTTGCTTATCTTCATCTGTAGGCACCTAAATACAGTAACTCCTCACTTAAAGTTGTCCCCTTTAACATTGTTCATTGCTGATCAATTAGGTAGGGTTACCATTCGTCCGGATTTACCTGGACATTTCCTCCTTTTTGTGCTAAAAATAGCGTCCGGGGGGAATTTGTAAATCACTCAAAATGTCCGGGATTTCCCCCCT